AATTTGAGCGCAATCGGCCCAGCCGTTCTCGAGATCTGGAAGCGGCACCCTGCACGTGCGCGCGTGCAATATGGGTCCCAACTGACTTTTGCACGGCACCCTTCTCGCCGGTCTCTAATCGTATACCAAATTTGAGCGCAATCGGTCCAGCCGTTCTCGAGATCTGGAAGCGACCCCTGCACGTGCGTACGGGCAACTTTGCCGCTAGAGTCATTTTCGGTCGCCGTAAATTTGGTCATGTCTCCCATCTCCGGGACCAACTCGGCTGGATGGCACCTAAAACAATGGCTGAATACCATACCCTTATCACGGCGCACAAGGCCATCCAGAGAGGTGAACCCGAGGAGATTGCGACCCTATTTTCCAAAAATTCCCAAACACGAGCAAGGTCTACCCGCCAAGACCACCTCTTCCACTTACCGCGACCCCGACTAGAGACCAGAAAACGTAGATTCGCCTACCGTGCCGCGGCGCTCCTAAATACTCTCCCCCTCGAGCTAACGCAGTTGCCTCCAGCCAGATTTGCCCGTGCTGTAAAAAAGGGGCTTAAGCCTAGCCAGAGTAGCCATAGTAGCTAGCCTCATGACTCTTGGACTATGAAAGGCAAACGAGTCTGTGTGTATAGTTACGAACGCGGCTTCGTGCGGGTTACACCAAGTATGTGTGTGTTCGGCGTTCGCGTTGTGTATTTCGTATCCGTAAGTGTGTGCGTTTTCTTGTGTAGGTATTTCTTGTGTTATCTTTTACCAGCTCGGACTCGGAGTGTAATCGCCACGCCGATTGTGGATTGCTCTTGATTGTCAATACATACATACATACATACATACATACATACATACATAGCACCCCAACCATGACATACGGATATGCATTGCCCGGTGGGTGCCTACATGCATGCCAAGTTTCAGCAAAATCGCCCCAGTAGTTGCTGAGCTACTGTAATGGGAACAAATTTAACACCTCTTCTGTTTTTTTTTTTGCACTTTGCACGTGCAGCGGGGATCACTCACGTGCATCAAGAGTATCCAATGATTGTTAGAAGGGATACAGCTACTCTACAAAAGTTACCGCAAGTCAATCGCCCCAGTGGTTACTGAGATATAGGCCTATCAAAATTGTTACTCCAGCAGAACGACTTGAACGCCCCGACTTTTCACGTGCCACGTGCCACGACGGTCACCTGAATGCATCACGATAAGTGAATTGCTGGGCAGAAAGGATGGAGCTACCCAACAAAAAAGACCGGAGGCGAATCGGCCCAGCGGTTGCTGAGATATCAGCCTCTCAAAATACTGATTACGGAGCGAGCGAAGCGAGCGGAGTCTTTCCTTAGATTAAAGGTAGTGTGCCAGCTTTCCTGGACCGTATGGAGTTAATGGCCCAGATAGGGAGAACCGGATTTTTAGAACTTATCCATACCTTCAAAACGCATGGAAACGTCTTAAATTCTTCAAATTTTGAGTACCCCAGTGCGAAATTCGCCCCGACGGGTTGTCGGTCGTACCCCAACCACATTTCACACCACTATGAACAATAAATGCACACACTGAAATCGCTATTACCGATATGCTCATCCAATCAAGTTTCGATAAACCCGTTCATCATCATCTCCTGCGGTTTCGAACACGCCTGTTAGGTGGCTTCTGATGCTCGTCGAGGTCGGAATTTCCAAATACGCGTGGTGCGTCGGGCCGCGCGCTCTGACTTCGGCCAAGAAAAATGCGTCAGCTGATCATTGTCATTTCTGCCACTTGCGTGTGGTGAAATGGGGTCATAACTTATAAGACGGCTTTTTCATATCAATTATTTTACATAAAATAATATTTCAAACCATAAATTAATGTTCGACAGCCAAATTAAAGAAACAATACCAATACAGGCTTACAGTTTAAGGCTCGACATTGTGTTGTCTACGATTAGACAGCTGATAACTCATTCCCGTACGTCGTAACTCTATAATGACCTTTGCTTATTGTCACATGTGCGCCGCATTCGTGATTGTTGCCGACGCCTGTTTGCAGATTAGCCCACTATAATTGTTATACATATTGAAAAACCGATAAACTTTTAGGCGAAAAAAGCACTATTTTAGCCCATTTTTGATTTTTTGCGATATTAGGTAAAAACAGAAGCTTCTTATCCTAGGAAAAATAAAATGGGAAATCATTCGAAGGTGGCACACTACCTTTAACGGAAATTTCTGAGTAGGTATGAGCGGCCGGCCGGCCGGCCGTGCGGACGCTTTTGCGAGGCTTATATCTCAGCAACCACTTGACCGATTTACACGCGGTAATTTTTGTAGGGTAGCTTCATTCCTTCTACCAAGCATTGGACTATTCCCGATGCATGTGGGTGACCCCTTATGCACGTGCCACGTGCAAAACGAAGAGGTGTCAGTTTTGTAATTGTTGCAATATCTCGGTAACTACTTGGCCGATTGCGCTGAAAGTTGGCATGTAGGTAGGCACCAACTAGGCACTGCATATCCATGTGCCAGAGTTGGGGTGCTGCTGTACGTGCGCACGTGCAGGGGTCGTTTCCAGATCTCGAGAACGGCTGGACCGATGGCGCTCAAATTTGGTACACGGTTAGGGACCAGTTAGTAGGGTGCCGTGCACAAGTCAGTTGGGACCCATTTTGCACGTGCGCACGTGCAGGGTGCCGTTCCCAGATCTCGAGAACGGCTGGGCCGATTGTGCTCAAATTTGGCACATCGCTAGAAACCGGTCAGTAGGGTGCCGTGCACAAGTCAGTTGGAGGTACCCCCTCGAAATTTCGCACGTGCAAGACTCACCCCCTCGCATGCTCCGTTAGTCGCCCCCAAAAGGCGCTATACTGGTTAAAATATTCGTCATTAAAAATAAGAGGCCAAAGTGGCCTCTTATTTTTCGCGCCACGAGTGTCCAATCCAGGTAGTTCATGTTATCTATGTTGGGACTTAAAAGCGCGCCGACTACGACGGTCATTTTGCAAAACATTAATAGGTACTTTTCCAAAATTGCAATTTAATCAGCAAGGAAAAACATAACACTCACCTTCACCACAAACCGCCAATCTCCCGAAAGAACTTCACTTGGAAATGCTGGATGCACGATGCACTGAATTTACCGACAGGTTTTGTGCCACTTTGGTCTAAGCTTAGAGGCCATATCGACACCTTTTTTTAAACACCACATTTGTTCTCCGGTGAATTTCGGACAAGTTTGTTGGAGACCTTCAAAAAAGGTACAATCACTCGATTTTTCTCAAGTTTGTCTGTCTTGGCAGATAAAGCAATACCAGAACAGGCCAACGAACACACATATTTGATCAGGATCGGACGATTGGACACTTTTAAAAGGAGATCTTTCGTGCCTCCCGGAAATTCACGGGAGAGCAGATGTGGGGTTTAAAAAAAGTGTCATATAGAGAAATACCCCGCGCTAACGTTCAAATAAACAGGGCATTCAAATCGCGATTTTCAAATAGGAGCTCTTTATCTCAAGAACGAGTCGTTCCATTTTGTTCAAAATATGTGCAACTACCATGAGGTTAAACGCCCGATTTAGCACAACGTTCTCAAATGTTGCTGTGAATTTTTTCCCGACCGATCACGTTAAATCCAGACATTTCAATTTATCAACCAAACAAAAACATTATTGCGTGTCCTACTACGAGCAGTATAGCATTATCGAATTAACAAAAGTATTACTGCATGTCAACGTCCACTCGCTTTGAACCGACTTCGAAAAACAATATCCTGAGGCGTACCATACGGGCATGGTTATTAAGGCGCCTTTATAATTTCACTTTATTTATCGGAAAAACTTCATATTGTATCCGGGATCGCAACAGAGTTGAACATTCATTTTTTTGAGCTTATTTAATGGCAAACTATGTGAGAATATGTAGGAAAAGCTAATAATAAAACAAATTTAAGTCTTCTGAACGGGCGATTCACGCACCTCAGTTCCAATTCTCTCAGCCAGTCAATAGATCGGTATGTAGCACAAAAGCATCCATCTGGTAGCCTCTGAAAGACATCTGATCCTAATGGGAACGTTCTGGGGATCATAGCCTTTACTTTGATAGCTATTGAATTCCCGACGGCTTGTGAATAGGATAGCAGAGAAGTCAACGACGGATAAATCGAAGCTTGCTTCATGCTTTCCCATAACGCGTCTGAGAAAAAAATGTAATATAGTATGAACAGAATAAGGATGCCAGTAATTCAGACAGACAAGCTAAAAAAAGACGGGATGAGAGAATGACAAGGACATGAGACCGGGAATGGTGAAGGGTACTAGCGCTTCGCTAGCGAATTATCCAAATAATGACATCGAACACACTGGAACCAAAACAACCAATGACCCATATACGTTCGGGGATAGTTTGTGCATCGCTGTTTCACATTTTAGAACAAAAGACCTCAAGTAACCATAAGATGCAGTTCATCGATGAACTTTGTTCAAATAGATGCAAAACAGGGAACTCAACAGCAACTTACGTTCGGTTTGAACTTCAAATTGAGCAGCTTACTGCCATTTTGCAGAAGGCCAGCGTTACTAGGAATGAGCCACTACATAGTACGACAAATCTAGCGCCGGGCCAAAATACGAGCCCCGATTGACTGATGTACCCAACTCTTATGTCGTTTGCCGATTTATGGAAGTTGGCTACCGGACCCGTGACCATAAAACTGAAACGGTCCTGGCCCTGGCAACCGTAAATCCAAATAAGCAATGTTCCATGTTCGAGAAACAAAATCTTGAATTTTAGCTTAGTTACCACTGAACAAAATAAACGAACGCAGGAACGCGGGAATAAGAGAGGAAACGGTGGAGACAAAATGTGAATGAGTAATTTATCGACTGAAGTGATTGAGGAAGACAGACACAATAAACCCCAACGAGCGATACTTTCTTTCCCAAAGCCAAATGTCATGTCTGTTTATAGATCTCTGTCTGTCTGAATTACCAGCGTCCTGACTCGTTCCCACCGGCATCGTCTCTGGATCTGACCTTGCGCAGTTGGTTCACCCGCTGCCGTCGCTCCAGCCTGTCCTGACGGTCCTGCAGCTGTAACAGAAAGGCAACGACATGAGGGTCAGACAAAGGAGTGTCACCACGGGACGGCATGTGATTCGATAAAAAAGTCTTTTGGAAGGCTGTGTGCATCCACGGGGCTCTTTTAAGGCTGAAACAGACTCTTTCCGTGTTCAGGAAATCGCACGCGAGAGCCTATTCATATACATTATAATTCTTCTCGCATCAATCGCTTGCGGGAGGTGCGTGCGATTGATGCGAGCGTGCTTCAATGTATTTGAATAGGCTCTCGCATGCGATTTCCTGACTGCGGAAAGAGTCTGTTTCAGGCTTTACTATTCCAACTTCTTTGGAAGTCAAATTTCCATCAATTGTTAAAAATGATTGAATATGGCAATGGTTTGTTGTTATGAAAACAAAATTGGACAAATATGGCTCAAGCTACTTCGGGTCCAGAAACTGTGCTGGACTTGACATAAACAAAACGTTTATGACAGAACAGCTTTTGCGCCCACAGAGTTTCTCACCATTTCATTTAGATCCACCTTCACGATATCCGGTTCCTACCTTTCCGATATCCTACCGATACCTACCGATATCCTACCCTTCCATTTTATCGGCTTCACAACTGCCACAAACCCATTCTCGAGTGGACATCCGTATCCGGGTATCGAAATAGAAAAGCAAGCACGAGGCCCAATTTCGGCTAAATCTTCACAAACTGATCCCACTCAACGGTTCGGCAATGTCAACCGAGCAAACGAGCACGTGGAAATGCCGCCCTGACCGCGTGATGTTCACAGACGGGAAAGGACTTGCACTGTAACCCTGTTTCGGATGAATTCAGCGCGCTGATGTGAACAGCTAGGCGGAAGCAGCTATTATAAGGCAAAACTAGCATGTAAAAATGCCTCTTGACCACACTTACCCAAAGCTGATGTTCATCCAGATCAGAGTAAAAAAAAAAGAGAAACTGAAACTATGTATTTAACCCGCGCCCTGCTGGGGGTCCTGGATTTCCACGCCCTGCTGGGGGGGGGGGGGGGTGTTTGAACACCCCCCCCTTGTAACTCGGCTCCTGGGCCACGTAGCGATACGCAGAAGGCGGCGTTCGAAAGAGCGTCAAAAATAATGACGAAATCACTTCGGTCAATTTTTTGTTCAGGTCAAAGGTCAGGTCACCAGAGGTCATTGGAGGCAAAATTTCGCCGATTTCCAGGTAAAATGTCGAAAATTTCCAAGAAGCCAACGCATAACTCGGGAACCAATAGAGCTACAGCGCCGCGGAAAAGCGCATTCGATAGCCCTATTAACGCCCTTTCTGAGTAATTCTCTCAGATTTGACCTAACGTCAACGGTTTTGCCTGCAGGGGGCAAAAACTGCAAAAATAGCCGATTTTTTCGGAAACAGTTTTTCTGCAATAACTTTTGACCCAAGCCTTGTACGAGCTTACTTTTACCGGCATCGTATTCCTCTCGTCAAGACGCATCGAATGAACTATAACTTGACCTTGAAAGGTCAACTTGAAAATTTGACCTCAGGTCAAGGTCATGACCTGACCGGAAAGGGTCATGTTGCATATCAGTCGATCCGTATCGTCGAGCTGAACACATCTAAGGCGTTTTCATCGCTCTAGCATGCCTCTATCAAAAGTTATTTGCGAAAAACTGCTAGATACCATTCGTGACCTAAGATGACCTCAGGGCATAAACAAGGGTCACGGACACCATTTTTATGTTCAGTGTGTCTAAACCACTTGTAATTCGGTGTTTGGGAGTGTTTATAATGTCTTTCGTCCAAAAGAGGCGCATTTCAATTTTCTCCCATTGACTTATAATGGGGAGGTCGCAAAATTGACCTGACCTTAGGTCATCGATATCAAAATTCTGAGATATACATTTTGTACATGCTATTGCTCTTAGCAATCGCTGAAAGTTTCAAAGCGATCGGTCACTCGGTGTAGCTATGACAGACATTGAAAGTTTTTATGAGGTGAGGTCACTTCAAGTGACCTGGTGACCTGACCTTGAATGACCTTGGTCTGAAATTTTCACAACATGTGTAGAATTGATGTATGATAAGGTGTACCAAAAAAGGCGGTGCTCCGCGCCGCCGTTTTTGAGATATTCGCGAAAAACCACAAGGGGGGGTGTTCAAACACCCCCCCCCCCCCCAGCAGGGCGCGGGTTAAAACAACGTGGAGAACAGCCGTCTTTGATGTTTCAACATTTCATCAACATATTTTCAAGTATTTGTGTAAGTCTTACCATTTCAATATATAAACCATTTGGTTACGTGCATCACTGTCCCGTGATGGTGATGCTGAAAAAATAGGAAGCCTTTAAGACCTTTAAAAGCTTATTAAAAAAAAAATAAAGTGGACACTACAGAGTATTTCAGGATTAACCAAATATTTATTTTACGTTAAAATGTACGATTGCGCTCAGTCCTTCGTGTGGCCTAGTGGATAAGGCGACCGCCTTGTGGAAAAGCCTCCATTCTGACTTCCGCGGTTCATTTTAACATAAAAAACTGATGTGATACGAACATCATACCTACGTTAATGAGACATTCTTGAGCTGTTAGACTTGAAGACCGTGTTTTATGGGTGACCGGTCATGACCCTATTCAGTTATTCTTTGTCAACGAACAGCATTCCTTTTCTGTTTTTAGCCAACGCCCCCAATAAGCAATCATGGCGATTGGTGAATCGAGCTCAGTGCTGAACTTCGTAATCGGGATTTCAGCATAGTTCTTTCTGGAGAGCAGCTCATCCACAAGCAGCTAGGGGTGAGCAGGACGCAGCTATAGTGGCGAACCAAGTGGCGAAAAATTTTGACGACTCCAACCAGGGCTGCGGAGTCGATGGATTTTCGGCGACTCCGACTCCGACTCCGACTCCGGCTTTCAAAAACCAGCTCCGACTCCGACTCCGACTCCGGGCAGAATTGTCGACTCCGACCGACTCCAACTCCCGACTCCGACTCCGCAGACCTAGCAGGGCTGCGGAGTCGACAGATTTTCGGTGACTCCGACTCCGACTCCGGCTCGGGTTTCTAAAATCGACTCCAACTCCGACTCCGACTCCGATCACAACTGTCGACTCCGACCGACTCCGACTCCGACTCCGACTCCGACTCAGACTCCGCAGCCCTGACTCCAACACCGACTCCATGAACAACTGCCGAATCCGACCGACTCCGATTTCGACTCCGACTCCGCAGCCCTGGTCGAGAGATCACCCAAAAACAGCCGCATGACTGACAATGCTCAACCTGAATCTTTGTTGAAGGTAAGAGCTTCTAACAAATCATAACAAAAAAGTGAAAATCGAAAATCATTTAACTCCAGCTTGTTACATTTCAATTTGGGCAAAAAGATGTAAAATAATGGTTCAATAAGTACTTACCCAAAAACGGTAATTTCATCGACTTCTTATTAGTTTTTGGTAAAATCATTTGGTCCAGTAAATGAGCTGATGTGAACGACCGTCCACAGTTCCAGACACGAGAGTTCCACAAAAAAACTCCTGCCGAATGAAGCGTACAGGATCGATAGGAAGCACGCGCAGAGAAAGGTACGTTGGTGAAAGCCGGTTCACTCCCAAACGGATTTGAGCTAGTATCATTTGAGCTACCTGCAAAAAGTCATTTGTTTGTTTATTAGGGCTATAGGGCGCGTCGATTTCAGTGGTCATTGTGCGCCCATTACGCCCATATACTGGTTAAAACAAGTGTGTTGAAACAGAGAACTGACGGACTAGAGAAGGCTAGGACTAAATGCGATGTACGTCAATGGAGCTAGTAGAAAAGCGACAGTAAAAAAGCACTGTCGCGTTACGAAGGCTAGAAAGGTAAAAGGGCTAGTGTCAGAACTAGCGTCCAGAGCACTACTACCATAGGCGGCGGAACGGGGAGGGCACCGGGGCACCGTGCCCCCTTTGATTTTGGCATTTTAACCCTATGGCCTATGGGCGTTGCATGGAAAGAATGGGACCAAAAGTCGGCAGCGCCCCCCTCCTCCTTAATTGAAGGTGTTCCGCCGCTACTGAATACTACGCCACTACTCGTACATACTCGTAGAGCTGCTCTGAACCATGCCATTTAGATGAAAGCTAAGGCACGACAGCATTAACCTATGGGCCGTCAGTCACACAGCGCGGCCGATGGGCTACAAAGGCATTCTTATTCCAGGTGTGCGTTCTTGGTGTCATGCGTGGCGTGCACACTGCACGCGTGCCAAATGCACTGCAATAATTTATCACTTGAAACGAAGTTACAACTCGAGAACATTTCGGGTAATCGGGTAGATCGCATTGTACGAGTTTAAATCAGACTAATTTTGCGACCTCCTTGATCTTACGCAGTTTCAAATCTGTGGTGTAACGATACCAAGCCGATGTTACGTGGTTGCCCAGCTACAACTCGGTTGTAGCATTTAAAGGTAGTGTGCCAGCTTTCCTGGACCGTATGGAGTTAATGGCCCAGATAAGGAGAACCAGATTTTTAGAACTTATCCATACCTTCAAAACTCATGGAAACGTCTTAAATTCTTCAAATTTTGAGTACCCCAGTGCGAAATTCGCCCCGACGGGTTGTCGGTCGTACCCCAACCACATTTCACACCACTATGAACAATAAATGCACACACTGAAATCGCTATTACCGATATGCTCATCCAATCAAGTTTCGATAAACCCGTTCATCATCATCTCCTGCGGTTTCGAACACGCCTGTTAGGTGGCTTCTGATGCTCGTCGAGGTCGGAATTTCCAAATACGCGTGGTGCGTCGGGCCGCGCGCTCTGACTTCGGCCAAGAAAAATGCGTCAGCTGATCATTGTCATTTCTGCCACTTGCGTGTGGTGAAATGGGGTCATAACTTATAAGACGGCTTTTTCATATCAATTATTTTACATAAAATCATATTTCAAACCATAAATAATGTTCGACAGCCAAATAAAAGAAACAATACCAATACGGGCTTACAGTTTAAGGCTCGACATTGTGTTGTCTACGATTAGACAGCTGATAACTCATTCCCGTACGTCGTATGGTCGTAACACTATAATGACCTTTGCTTATTGTCACAAGTGCGCCGCATTCGCGATTGTTGCCCGACGCCTGTTTGCAGGTGAGCCCACTACAGTTGTTATACATATCTAAAAACCGAAAAACTTTTAGGCGAAAAAGGCACTATTCCAGGCCCATTTTTGATTTTTTTTTTGCGATATTAGGTAAAAACAGAAGCTTCTTATCCTAGGAAAAATAAAATGGGAAATCTTTCAAAGGTGGCACACTACCTTTAATGTCCAACGGATATGTGCGCCGTATTCCCATCTCGAACATCAGCATAATAGAACGAATATCACATGCATGCAAATGGTCAATAACTCGGCTGAGAACGCATATTGGTAAACGTTTCCGCGTCAGAGCAGAGGTTTCAGAGATGGGGCGCTCTGTTCACTCCTACCAAGATCGTCCTCAATAGTTTATTTGGCGAAAGAACGGCTAGTGAAACGGTACGGAAGGGATAGTGTTTTTAATAAACAGGAAGCGAGTATTCACGTCATTTCAAATGACGGTGGGCGGCAGCGACAAAAGCTTACTAAATGCAGTAGATCTTTTCATGCTGCTAAATATCGTTGCGCATATGATATAGACAATGAGGAAAAAGCATGTATCTAAGAATAATTTGTGTTATACTCTCTCACCTGTCCTGCTCAGTGATTAGCAAATGGCTAACATTTCGGTCCCATATTTTTAATGACAACGCACATTCAGCACCGTTTCTTTCATTGAAAAATCAACTTTACCAAGGACGATTCGTTAAATGGCAGCGAATTAAGCGGGTACCTGCCAATACAAGGCAAAACAAACTCCATCATTCCATCCGCACGTAAGTTCCAAAAGTGAGCCCCTTTCCCCGATCAAATCGTCCCCTACCTGTGGACGGTCCTCCATGCGAGTCGCGAGACGACGGGCCGGCGGCACTGCTGGCATCGACGTGTCCCTCAAAGCTCGAGAAGAAGCCCAGCGGGTCATCCATAGAGCGCCCTTCGTCATCTGAGAGATCCACCTGCTCAGTCTGCAAACGGAGAAGAAAGTGTGATTGGCGAATGGCCGGGGCGAGTTGACTAGATCATACGTGGTAGCATCAGTCTGGGAAGATGTAACAGAGCCATGAAACGGTATTTATAGTTAGTAAGCATTCATTCCAACAGAATACATCATTCTGATTCACACTGACATGAAAAGGGCAGAATACATTAGGAATATAAGCCTTCTTTAACCCTCGCCCGCACATGGGGGGGGGGGGTTGCCACCCCCCCCCCCCAGGTAGTCTTTCTGCTCTGCACTCAACATTTTTAGAGCTAGAAGGCTGATTTTTCGTATAGCTGCTCCTCTATCCTTTCTTGATGTCCACTGAAAATTTCAAGTTTCTGTGATTTTTGGCTTTGGAGATATGACCTTGTTTGTCAGGTCATGTCATGACCCAAATGGCCAATTCTCAACATCTTGCGTTTGCCATGGGCCTTGTGAGCTTTTGACACCTTGATTTCGGCCTTTTTTGCCAGTCTTACCTCCCACCTATCATGCAGTGTCCCAAAATTAATCGATTTGGGTGTGAAACGACATCCAAATGAAGACCATTTTCCACTCTTTTCAACCTTTCAAGATCAGTTTTCCACTCCGAACGTCAAAAGCAAAGGGCATATGCGTACATGGTCTTAAACAACATATCGATGCTTACATTACACGCTATATCCTATCAATTTTTTGTGAAAATGTGTGATATCAATCTGTTTTTACTCCACCCTTATCCCTCGCATCTTTTGTTAGCTTTACCTTACCAGCAATTTTCCACTCCCTTCGGCCTTCACCCTGTCTACGGAATAATTTTCCTCTCTGACACCCAAGCTAAAATGTAATTTTGAGACACTGCTATCATGGAACATGTTGTTCGACGATGTACAGGGGTCAAGGTCAGGGTCAAGGTCAACCTAGGTCATCTAAGATAATTGCGTTTTAGGCAAGCTGAATTTACTTTTTGTGAAGTTTTTTTTACTGTATTTTTGGTAAAAGCTTCTCAGATCATGATTTCATGTAATATGGACACAAAAACAATCGGTGCACACATCAGTATACACACAGACACACACAGACATACAAACACATATAACTGACCTTGACCTAACTTGACCTGAAATGACCTCAGCAGCAAAAATCTGGTCGGATAGTGTGACAAAGAGGTTCTAGCTGGCTTGGCACCAGAAAACGGCATCGTCATCGGTATATGCTAAGCAGTGCACTTGATATCCAACGGTGACCCAAAACAGCAACATTTTTTAGTTTGACCTGACCTGGAAGGTCAATGACTGACCTGAGAAGGTAAAATCCGGTATCATTGGATTCGTCTCTTCCCAAAGAATCTTTTTGGTCTTTACCGCTAAGCTCTATCTCCAACAGGAACGAAACGGCGCGGGGGTGGTGGCAACCCCCCCCCCTCCCCCCCCCATGTGCGTTCTAGGATGGGAAAATGGCATGTGCGGGCGAGGGTTAACGTTCAATGGGCATCAGAAATTGTTAACAATACAGTTTTTTCTCAATTACGGTGATGATCATTCGGACGTCAGCACACAGCACAAAGTAAAAATTCTGAAAACTGCCCTAGAATGATGGACCCGATCTTATTGCAGTATCCATCGTTATTCCCAAAACACGTGCCGCCATACTCGTGACCTGAAACCATTAAGAATTCCTAGTAATTCTGATTGCACATCACCTCTAATTGCGGTTAAAACTGGTGAACCGAGTTTATCCATCAACCGTAAGAAGAAAACCCACCTTTATATCATCCAGGCTGACAACGTTCACATCAGCAGCGATCACCGAGGCGGATGCGGCTTTCGGGACATTTGCGACCGCTCTGTTATCTGTGCTGACGCTAGTTGACGGAATAGCAGACTTGGAGGCGGTGGCAGCGGCGGAGGCGGCAGCAGGGACGCCGGCGGCGGTCTTGGAGGATGCGGTCACGGATGCGGGGGCGGACGCGCTCGAGGATGCGTCATAGGTCGCGGACAGGTCGGACGTTCCACTGGAGCGGCGGCGGCGTCGTTTGCTCGGTCGAGGCTCGGCAGGTGCGGGCTGGTCATCCTCACGTGGTGGCGGCGCCGAGCTCTGCCGCGGAGCCGTAGCAGTCGGTGTCTGCCGGGAGAGGAATCAATGAGCCGTTAATTGTTGATTAACATGATTGACTGATGGTAGTGTATCAGTCAAATAGTGTATCAGATGGTAGTGTACCGTTATCATCGATCAGTATCGACATATTGAGCAAGAGGTGGCAAAAAGCAGGCATGCAAGAGACATGTTGATGATATGACGAGATACCGTAGCCCGAAGCTGCTTCTATTTTTAAACCAAGAAGTTTTTAAACGATATTTTTAGAACAGTAACTGAATCCAAAGAGACCATAAATAGGCATTATACATCATAGCTTCGGGGTATTCAGGTATAGAATAAACTTCACTGATATGATAAGAGCATAAATCAAATGTGAATTGAAGCCTGAAGGGCTCAGCATACTCCTCCAAACGTCACATCACTGACTAAATTGAATTAAACAGTGAGTGATGAGTTTGTTCTGAATGAAACGCGACTTTATTGAAAGGTTAGGTAAGAATAAAAATAGGATGACAGAACAGGCTCCCCCGTCTTGTTTGTTTGTTTATTGGAGCTTTAGGGCGCGCCGACTGCTGGGGTCATTTTGCACCCATGGACTTCTCATTAACACAATCACAACTGACAAATATTCCCCTTCCTTTTCCTCTAAAACATCGCGTCTTGGAATTTTTACTCAGGATGCTGAGCATAAAAACATTGCACAGTGGCCCTTTTTCAGAATTAGCACGCATTAATTCCCACATTACCTTAAAGTGGTGCAAGACATCAACACGTGATCAAGGACGTATTCCCTGCCAATGCAAAGAGAAGAAAAGAAACGAACTGCCCAAGGAGATTCGGCCCAACAGCGACAGGCCGCTCGGCCCAAGATTTGGCGCACGTTCGTACGGCTCGCCCGCCGGCCAGCCCGCTCCGAACGCAAGTGTGGCGAGCCCGCCAGCCGACCGCGCTGCACTGACCGCCAGGACGCCCCAGGGCGTCACGTGGCCGCATCTACAGCTGTTGCCAGCCACCGTTAGTATAATTTCAATTAGCACATCTTGTGGCAAAAGTCAAGCCACATTTAGGCGCACACCAGGTGACACCATCTTCGAGCCAGGTCAATGAGCTTAGTCGTATCGAACAGGAGCCATAGCCGCTCGCGGACTGAACTGGCTTACGTTATCCACCGTAGAAGCAAAATGGCGCAAAATGGCGCGATGCCCTTTGGCGGACATGGTCAGAAGAGATCGGCGATTCGAACGATGTATAATACGACATGTTCCAGAGTGTGCCACTTAACATAAAGCTTCATATGTATGCCGCCATCTCCAGTTAATAATTGTCCTGTTATTGTGTCCACAATATTCGGCAAAAGTGGTCTATTTAAGTTTATATAATAAAAATAGTGGTTTCTAGGGCTTCTACGTAAACTCAGCTTCACAGCCATGCCACTTATTTTTAATATTTTTGCATCGAAAGTCTTACAAATTGATGTTCATCTCACTCTACTTTTTATGGTCCGCCGGTGGTGTCCGCGCGCCTCTCGACAAACTTCGATTTTGCGGTCAATTTTACCAAAGATAATTATCTTTTAGGAGGTAAAAATGGCACCATCGGATATTTTGGAATGTTTTGCACACAATAAGACTGCTTTTTACTCAAAAGAAGAGAAAAAAAAATATTTTGAATTTATGCGTGCTAATTCTGAAAAAGGGCCACTGTGCATTGGTCAAACACAGCAACCGGCGTAAAACAAAATGTTTTCTGACGATAAGAGCAAGTCCGTCTATCAATTTCATACCTTCATTTGACACTCACAAAAACAAACGAAAGCATTCCAAAAGCATGAAGTGACAATGCAAATGATTGCGAAAAACAAAGAAATGTGAAAATGGATGGAATGTAGTATGTCAGACATTGTTATGTTTACTCACATCAGATGACAACACACATTTAGAATATTTGCTTTTGTGTTGTCATCGGAAGTGAATAAGCAAATGGATGGAAATTGAATATTCTACCCGAAACTGACAAAAACAAAGGTATTTCAACGTTAAATATTTGACTTATTTTGCTCTCGAATTTTCAACCCTCATGGCTCACACACACCGAACCCACCTGATCTTCATCTCCGTCGCTGTCGCCGCTGAGCCCCCGGATCTGCAGCATCTCTGCCGTCTTGATGAAGCTGGCTAGCTGGCTCTGGACCACGTTCACCTCTCCGCAGTAGATGAACTGGATGATGGCATGCAGATCCTCCGCCGAGGTCTCCTTCAGGAAGAACACCGGGTGCTGACATGGGTTCGACTGTGAACGGAAAACCGGGTGGGGCGCCGGTTAAGATGCGCTCCATCATATTGAGCGTTCTGGTTGCCAGATTAACGCATACTGCTTGAGACTTGAATCCATACGACTTTGTCGCTTGTTAAGCAAGACTGCGTGTTCCCCGTTTCAACTCTAACCAAAAAAAAAAAAAATAAATAAATAAATAAGGCTTAAAAATGATTGAAGGCAGTAAGATTAAGAGCAGCTAACTCATATTGAAATATCATCCAATAAAATATTAAATTAACTGAAGAAAAAAAGAAACATCGCGTTATTATCGCAAAATGAAAGGCGCATGTAACACACGCAACCAATATGCTGTGATCGACAAAAAGGCAATAACCTACACCGCACATATTTAAGACGGAGCGTCCTATCTCTGTTTTAATCTTTTTAAAGCAGTGAAGAACCCACAACACATTTTCAACATACAGATTGAGCTTTCTTAATGGACGGATAATGAAGCTAGGTTTCAGTGGCATCGTCATAAAAACGAACTATAGTGCTTTCACCGGAGTTTCGGCTATATCATGTTACGTGTTTGCCGATGGCATTTGCCCACGCATTAGTTTCAACCTCGTAGAACTACTGGGAAGCGATAGCGATATAAAGATCTTCCAAAAAAGAATAGCTAATGCATTCTGAGCACTCATCAACGAATACAGCCCTAACATACGGCAGCAGCATCCACAAACGCCATTATAAAACGTGCTTATCCAGGCCTGAGGCAAGTCTACGATCTCGGCAATTACACATACAGTGCGCAGTTTTCCGAGATTCAAAGCGTGGAACTCCTATAAACGGTGTCATAAAGACCATTATCATTTGACCCCTTCGGTCAATAATTGAATTAATACACCGTGCCCAGTAAAAAAATACCCAACATCAATTTTACAACACGACCAATACCAATGGCGCATTGTGATAATTGATAGAGATATCCAAATTGTGTTTGTTAATTGGGGCTTTAACCCGCGCCCTGCTGGGGGTCCTGGATTTCCACGCCCTGCTGGGGGGGGGTGTTTGAACACCCCCCCTTGTAACTCGGCTCCTGGGCCACGTAGCGATACGCGGAAGGCGGCGTTCGAAAGAGCGTAAAAAATAATGACGAAATCACTTCGGTCAATTTTTTGGTCAGGTCAAAGGTCAGGTCACCAGAGGTCATTGAAGGCAAAATTTCGCCGATTTCCAGGTCAAATGTCGAAAATTTCCAAGAAGCCAACGCATAACTCGGGAACCAATAGAGCTACAGCGCCGCGGAAAAGCGCATTCGATAGCCCTATTAACGCCCTTTCTGAGTAATTCTCTCAGATTTGACCTAACGTCAACGGTTTTGCCTGCAGGGGGCAAAAACTGCAAAAATAGCCGATTTTTTCGAAAACAGTTTTTCTGCAATAACTTTTGACCCAAGCATTGTACGAGCTTACTTTTACCGGCATCGTGTTCCTCTCGTCAAGACGCATCGAATGAACTATAACTTGACCTTGAAAGGTCAACTTGAAAATTTGACCTCAGGTCAAGGTCATGACCTGACCGGAAAGGGTCATGTTGCATATCAGTCGATCCGTATCGTCGAGCTGAACACATCTAAGGCGTTTTCATCGCTCTAGCATGCCTCTATCAAAAGTTATTTGCGAAAAACTGTTAGATACCATTCGTGACCTAAGATGACCTCAGGGCATAAACAAGGGTCACGGACACCATTTTCAAGTTCAGTGTGTCTAAACCACTTGTAATTCGGTGTTTGGGAGTGTTTATAACGTCTTTCATCCAAAAGAGGCGCATTTCAATTTTTTCCCATTGACTTATAATGGGGAGGTCGCAAAATTGACCTGACCTTAGGTCATCGATATCAAAATTCTGAGATATACATTTTGTACATGCTATTGCTCTTAGCAATCGCTGAAAGTTTCAAAGCGATCGGTCACTCGGTGTAGCTATGACAGACATTGAAAGTTTTTATGAGGTGAGGTCACTTCAAGTGACCTGGTGACCTGACCTTGAATGACCTTGGTCTGAAATTTTCACAACATGTGTAGAATTGATGTATGATAAGGTGTACCAAAAACGGCGGCGCTCCGCGCCGCCGTTTTTGAGATATTCGCGAAAAACCACAGGGGGGGGTGTTCAAACACCCCCCCCCAGCAGGGCGCGGGTTAAGGCGTGCCAACTACAAACGGTTCTGGATCTCCAATTCAAAGATTTTTTTAGCCGTTTGCTGTAATCGAAAATACACTGAAATAAGAAAATGGTCTTCTTTGGTAGGACGCAATTATCATCAGTTTAATATGTTGCGTTTGGGAGCACGAAGTAGACCATACGATAGGCACCTATTTGCTTTTTGTTTGATGCCAATGCGATGTTTATCAATTAAAACACATATTTCAAAACAAACGGCTTCAGGGAGAACAGTTTTGATTTCTAGACATATTGGGTAAATGGATGATTTCGACGATGTTTTTAATGGACAGCAATTCTTACAGACAAACTTAACCCCACACTTATAGAGGGAGGGGGAAGGGGTCAAACGGAGCTCGCACAGAAAGTCACCAATCGCGACGAAACTTTCAGTGGGTACCCTCGAATTGATCTTTTTTTACACCTATCCTGAAAATTATATGACCCTAACCCAAATAACCTTTGACCTGTGGGCTGTGACCTACTTTTCGAGACAATGTTTGGCCGGAATCGCGATCCAGCGTAGGTATGTCGGCACACATTATCCGCGCGTTTTCGGTCTTTTTGTGGTGTTCTAACATGTGCAATGATGTTTGCCCCATGCATTATGGTGGGAGTCAAGGTCACGTGAGGGACGGTCAAGGTCAGTGACCTTAGATTACCTTGGTTCACTTTTTCGAATTTCACATGTTTCCAGGGTAGTTGTTGGAGCTGATTTAGAATTTACCACCCACCTATCTGAACATTTATGAAGTAGTTTTGGTGCCAACGTAACATGTCCCGAAGTCGCCATTGGAGGTTGACTATAAGTAGCCAGCGGGAAGCCTACGGGTTGAACTGACCTGACCTGACCCGAACAAACCAAAACGCATTAATAAATCATGCTTGTTAAAACTAACAAGAAGTTCGTAACCGGGACCCTGAAAACCCCCATCATAACCTCAGATCACGATGCTCTAGCAGGTCCCGAATTTCCCGACTTTTGAGTCATTGACCTGACCTGGAAGGTCAGCCAATGACCTGGGACCTTTAATTTGGGTATAATAGCCTTCCTCGCGTCACTCACAATACCCTCTTTTTCCGCGAAGCTCTAGCTAGATCAGGGGCCGAACAGTAGGGCGGGTCAACAGACCCCCCCCCCCCTATACGTTAGAAAAAGGCCAATACGGACGAGGGTTGACGCTGACACCACAGGGCCTCGTTTCATAAAGCGAGTCCGTAACTTACGCCGGTTTTTGGGCTTGTATTGCAAGCGCATGTGTAGGGATAAATTTGTTTCCCCTTCTCCCTTCTGTTCTTGCTTGCAAGATAAATAAATTCAACGATTCAAACTATCGTCATCGCCTCACATGCACTTGCAATACAAGACCAAAAACCGGCGTAAATTACGGACTCGCTTTATGAAACTCAAACGAGGCCCAGGAAGAAAACCAAAAAAAAAAAATGGACAGTTCAATTGAAAATAGTGCACGGACGCATCCTCCACCCACCTTGAGCAGCTGGCGGAGGCTGGGACTGCTGGCCGACAGCAGGATCTGGTGGGCCTTGACGGCGTGTCCGCCATCACAGCAGAGTGTCACATCCAGCAGCTCTTCCTCCCGGCGCAGTTCGTCAAACACCGAGGACAGCCGCGACTTGAAGCCGTCCCAGCGCAGACAGAACTTCTGGCCGCCCGTCATCGCGCGGCGCGGCGGCTCGGCTGCAACAAGACAATTTGTTCACGGTAAATCTATTACAATTCGTAGTTTATTATATTAACAAATTAATATTCTATTCCAATAAAGATTGACCCTTTGAGAATGGACATAGAAGGATGGGTTAATTTATGAAGATGAATAGCTATTGTTGTATGGTTGTTTGATTGTTTGATAACGACTGAAATGGCCATTTCACATCCACCGCTCGTATAGTTGTAAGGTGGTCAAGTAGAGGCACTGCATATGGTGCGGTGAACACCAATTGCAATGCATCTATTGGACCTATGGACCTATGGATATGCACCTATATGGATCTGTTGGACTTCTTCCCATATCAGCTTTGAAAAAAAGAGAAATGAGTAGTTTTTGAACCACCATGGCACAACTTAGAGAAAATCAGCCCTGCCTGCCTTAGATAATTTGTGCAGCACCAAGATGAGTTACAAAATACAATCATCAATAAACATTAGGTACTTGGAGGGTAAAAACAATAACAAGGGAAAATTCAAATACCATTCAGAAAATGTTGCAGCCTCATCTCCCCTTCCTTGCATTTTTACCATACAAACACTGTTTAAAATACCATACCAGTAAAACGCCTTTTAGGCGAAGAACGAGCGAGCGAGATAGTGAGCCCTGCACGTGCGGAAAGGCGATAGGGTACTTCCAACGGGCTTAAAGCACCCTTCTAACCGGTCGCTAGCGGTGTGCCAAATTTGAACGCAATCGGAGCCCTGATCGGCGGCCGGCTAGTACTCTTGCCCGCGCTCACATACGTGCACGTTACCCCGGCAACGGGCTATTGACCAATGAGAAGCGAGAAAAGTGTTACGTCACTGCGATTTTTCATATACCTGTGCCCCCCGGACGTGACGTAGTGTGCTCGCGCGCGTGCAGGGTCTGTGCGATCGAAAAAGAGCGCTAGCAGCGCGCCACTCGACGCCGCAATTGTCAAAAGCGGCGTGTTAGTATGCTTTATTATGAATGATGTGTGTAAAAGTGAGTTTTTATGTTGTTTATTTGAAGGAAATGGTTGGAATAAATTAAGTTATTTTTATTTCTGTTGGTTGGAGTTTTTATTCAAAAGATTTCGGTCTATACCATTGATATTTACTGAAAATACCTTCGCTTGAATAAATTGCAGATATCTGGCAACTGAAGTGTTAGGTAAGCCTAATTGATATGTAAAAAGGTAAGAAACACCCTGATTATCATTTGAGAAACGAAAATATATGAATTTTCCTTATAAGACTCGCTCAATATGCTACTCCGCTGTTTATGCCCCGAGGGTGTCCGAGGGTTCCCGTTAGTTTGTCGTTGGCGCTCGGCTCGCGCGCGAGCCGACGTCACCGCCTGTGACGTCGGCTCGCGAAATACGTCATACCCTGCACACAAAATAGCCGGCTGCCGAACAGCGCTCGGCACAGCCGTTCCTGAGATCTGGAAGCGGCATTCTGTACGTGCGCACGTGCAAACGGGGTCCAAAATGACTTTCGCACGGCACCCTACTAACCGGTCCCCAACCGTGTACCAAATTTGAGCGCAATCGGCCCAGCCGTTCTCGAGATCTGGAAACGCCCCCTGCACGTGCGCACGTGCAGTAGCACCCTAACCGCAACACATGGGAATGCATTGCCTGGTGCCTGGTGGGTGCCTACCTGTATGCCAAGTTTCAGCGAAATCGCCCCAGTAATTACTGAGTTACTGAAATGGGAACCAATTTGGCACCTCTTATTGTTGTATTTTGCACGTGCAGTGGGGGTCACTCACATAGATGAAAAGTATCCGACCTTTGGTAGAAGGGATGCAGCTACCTACCCTATAAAAATGACTGCAAGACAATCGCTCAAGCCGCTGCTGAGATATGGGCCTCTCAAAGTCATTACTTTTGCATAACTGCTTGAACACCCTTGACTTTTCATGTGGCACGTGCCACGGCGGTCACTGAGATGTATCAAAAGTAGTCAATTACGGGGTAGAAGGGATGGGGCTACCCAGCAAAAAAGACCGCAGGCCATTCGGTCCAGCGGTTGCTGAGATATAAGCCTCTCAAAAGCGTTACAGGCCGGGCCGGGCCGGGCCGCTCATACTGAGATTTTTCAGTTATATTGAAAAAACTTTGCTTCGCTCGCTGCGCTCGCTCGCTCGTAATAAACATTGTTATCCTTGTTGTTTTAAACTTGACCTTTTCCAATTTTAGCCTAATCTTGAAATGAATCTCCTTGAGAAGAGCAAGGAACAGAAAAAAGATGGCAGCAGGTGAGCTCCATAGCATAAAGCAGACCAGAGGAGGCTGAATGAACAGATTTTTGTAAACAGGGCATTGAAAAATACTAAGGGAGGTCTGAGGCAGGACAAGAACAGATGCACACGTTAAAACACCTTATTATATTGCCAGCTGCCTATTACCCACCCAAAGAAAGTAGATTCACTGCTTTTCTATTAGGTAGCAGATTATAACCAGCTACCAGTTCCCTGGCTTATCCCTTGATTCTAGCACTGTTTGGTATTGGCATCAGCTTTTGATTAGTATGCTCCAGCAGTGAGAACTCTTCCCTAATATGGAAGATGCTTGTATGAAAGATGCTTGTATGAAAGATGCTTGTATGAAAGATGCTTGTATGAAAGATGCTTGTATGAAAGATGCTTATATGAAAGATGCTTGTGTGAAAGATGCTTGTATGAAAGATGCTTGTATGAAAGATGCTTGTATGAAAGATGCTTGTCATTTGGATTCTTGGCCTCATATTGTGCACCACACACCCCAATGAATTTCAACAATCAGAAGCTGAGAACTGAGAAGCACCAATAGGCTGGCAGTATTCTGCCAAAAAAAGTGACTGAACTGTGGCCTGTGTTATGGTTGAGGTTTTCCATGGCCTCTACCAGCAGCCTTTCCCCCAGGCTGACAGGTTTGGCTCAGTGAGTCCTATCAGGCCCAATCTTGTGAAGACTGCACTATTCTACTCAAGGCAATTCAAAGCTGAATTTGGTAGCATGTACAATTGCAATGATCCTAATGTTGGCATATGCATGCCCGAGTCATCAGCTCTGAACAAAGAAAGTTCAGACAGTTAAAGGGAACAAATCTATGGGCTGAACTATTTTAAGACTGCTCCAGCTTTACTAATAGTTTTTTTCCTCTGAACTTCAGCCAGTGTTGGTGCTGCTAATCATCCATTCTACAGCATCAATGACTGATTGTCCCCAGAGGGCTGTTCACGGGCCCTGTGTGTGGTCAGACCGCACGCAGCCTCTAAGCTCTGCCCACTGCGTCCCTACATCAGCCTTCCACACAGTGACTGCTGTGGCCAGTCAGGACTGGCCACAGCGGACCGTCCACTGCACGCAGCTGTGACGTCAGAACCACCTACCCATCCCCAAGATTCTTGCCCCATCCCCTACCCCCACCGCACACACTGCGCTCAGCAGTTTGTGTTGTGGTGCTCGTGAACACCCCTCACGAGTGAAGTGTGGCCTCAGCCTACACGAAGCACACAAATGCAAACACAAGTAATAGTAGCTAATCCTAAAGTTAGCATAAACAAACTTTGCTATTCTAGCATGAGGCAACTGGAAGAGAACTTGAAACATAACGAGTGAAGTCCATGGACAGTGCAAGGGGGGTCACTGGGAACTTACCGAGATTTCAAGAAAAGACAAGCTTATGTTTCACAAAACTGAGCTATAGATCACTGCACAATATTCCAGCAGTCGTAAGCTCCGTTACATTATAAAGATCCACGTCATTCCCCTGCAGCAATATCCACAAAACCCGCAACCAACAAATGCCGCAAATATGGCTGAAGCCAAACAAAAGCGAGAAACGCGGGAAAATCGCGTAGCATGCCGCGCCAAATTTCGTCAAGGCTGCTTTATTACAAAGCTTGGTGTCAGTTGTCTCTAAAATGCAGCACTTTCTGGATTTGACTGATGTTAAGTTGATGCACCTTTTTCGTAATTACCGACCGACGGCAGATTCACAATTCTAGATAGGGTTTTTTAACACAATATCAACATCAGCCTATGGTCTATTGTCCATCAGTGGCGGCGGAGCACCTTCAATGAAAGGGGGGGGGGGCACACTGGCTACTTTTGGTCCCATTTTTTCCATAGCCCATAGGGCTAATGGGGGGGGGGCACGGTGCCCCGGTGCCCCCTCCCCCGTTCCGCCGTCTATGTTGTCCATAAGTGAGCACCGCTCTTCAAAATTGTCGCTCAGAGTGAAGAAGTCGCCCATTCCTCCACTACATAGAGTCCATTCCCTCAGAGTGACTTCCCTCCACACGTTTCCGGTTTCTTTGTCCCCAGGCTTCCTCGGTCATCCGCAACTCGCAAGGCAAGTGCACTACGGAAAACACTTGGTCTGTGACTCATTGATCGTCAGCTTATGACCTATAAGTAAGTAGGTAGGTATGCCTATAATATGAGGTAGGTATATTCCCCTATACCTATTTGGTCATACATAGGAAAATACAGTTTTACTACGGTCATAAATAATTGCCTAGGTACCATAGACATATAGTCTTACTATAGTCGTTTTGCTCTGGTCGTTCGTCACTATCCGTTATGCCCAGCCAGGCAAAGTCGGTCTGGGCCGTAGCTGGTTTTACTCTGGCTAGCTCCGCCTAAGGCATTTGCTCTAGCGAAAGCACGGACAAGGTCTGTGGCTCTACTGGAGCTGACACACGATCCCGGAGCTCGCCCGCACCACAGCCGGACTTATACCGCATCAACCGTGCCGCACCTCAACTGTACTTCAGCCACAGTAAGCCAGAGCAGCTACCACAGCCGGACTTGAGCCGTGGCAGGGAGCCGGACTTCAGCCAGGCTTGGCGGTCAGCAATCATACCAACTCGGGAGCGTTACGGCAAAGGCTGGCTGACCGGAATATCGCCATATCGATCCAAACCCCGGCTCTGACGGCGTTCCGTTTACCTCGGCCCAAGTCGAAGTTGCCGGGACAAGACGGACTTGAACCGAACCAAATTTTTGGCTGGGCGTTAGCTTTCATTTTAACATCAGCGGCTATTTATTCTATTTCTAGTTTTTGGTCGCGATTGGCCGCTTTTTGCGCGAGTTAGGTAATTGCAAAAAACGAGGGGGAGGGGTCCGTTCGATCGACCCACCCTCCTCCTATAAGTCCGAGCAAGGCCATATAAGAGTGTGAGGGCTACACCTTACTCGAATACCTAACAAGTTAGATGAAACTGACTAACCAACCAACCATACATGTACGCACTGCTGCCATAGTATGGCAGCAGTATGGCAACAGTAGTATGGCAGCCATACTAAGACCATGGATAACTATATAGTTATCCATGGTACGACCATTCATCATTGATCATCATCGGCAGGGCGCTGAGCAGGGATCAAACAGTGCCCCGAGGAGGACACTAAGCTAGCCGAGGATGAGATTTTAGCCCGTAAGCTAGCCGCGGAAGACCATTAGCTACCTCAGTTAGCAATTGTCGCCACTCAACCGAGCGAGGTCTGCAGTTCCGTCCAATTTACGGACTTTGATGACGCCGAGAGACGTGCTGAAGGCAGCATTGTAGACCCACTTGTAATCTAATGATTCCGTCTTGAGGAAGAGTACGGTTTGTTGAGTTTCTGTTTTATCATACGGCCGTTTTCTTAGCCATCGTTGATTGGATCAGGACCTGCAGAAAGGCTATAGATATTATTTATTAATAAAAAAGGTGGCAAGCATTCGGCTAAATATATGTATAGGTAACTAAAGTTCAAGTTATAGGTGAGGGACGATAGCTGAGGGATGCTGTGATTTGTTCAGCCGCTGCACTGATTAGAATGACATAAAAGTTCATAATGATCGGCGGAGAGCTTGATGTAAGGGCATCATAGCTGCGCGACACTGTTTATTTGACACTTGAGACTTGACACCAAATGCGCCACTAGCTGTATCAAGTGGCGATGTCATAGCCAAAAACAATATCAGACGTGTCACGAGACGAAGATTGTGGAAGAAATGGGAGAACTAGTTTTCAACCGATGAAACGTTAAACAATCCACGAGCCATTACTTTTTATTCATTTATTTAGTTATTTATTTATTTATTTATTTGGCGTCATAATTAGTAATTACAATATCACCTAGCGGAGGACGTCTGCTCCTGTGCATCTTCAGCTTTCTACCAAGGCCTTTCTACGATCCTTCCGGGGGTTACCTACCTACTCTAAAATAAAGACAATCTCCTCCGCTACAACATTGTATGTTCCGCGGTAGACCACGTCAAGTTCTTCACCAAGTTTGACCGCTGGCAGCGGCGTTTCACGTTCTCGATCTAAGGCTTATTGTTATGGTTAGTCTCTCGGTTCCTAAGGGCACACCCGTAGGTGAAGTAGAGGTCCACGGGACGCACTATGGAGGCGAATGATTCACTATGTTGTCGTTTTTTTAATGCCCTTGGGATGTGTGTGTGACACTGCCTATAGTTCATTTTTTTTCAAAAGGACGCTGGCTCCAAGTATGTTTTTCGAACAAGCACGTGTTTTTGCGAGCAAAACGAGCAAAAACTGAACCTGAGAAACTCGAACGTCGCCTTATTTTAACATGTGAATTATTCCCGATAAATTCCATGCCTGCGTTTTGGAACTTGACATGAGAACAGTGGTGACGTCATGCTGTGGAACTTGCATTACAATGCAACGCATAACTATCATGGAAAGAACCGCTTACTCGATTCCGGCCTCGGTAAGAGCAAAAAACGAAGTTTTCCCAAAATTCGTTGGCAATGAATGCTTTCGTATGGACATTGGGTGCCAGCTGCCACCAGTGACGTCATCATAGTATGCTCATTTTTGAAGTCACAATTTCCATGTATTTACCGAACACAATTTGAAATCGATCATTTTTTCGGCAGGAAATTCTTAGCCAGACGCTGAAGTTGCCAAAACTCACGTGAGAGCTTCGATAATGAACTTTGAGCCAGCGTCCTTTTGAAAAAAAAAACGAACTATACTGCCTTTGTAAACGGAAACTGGAGGCCGACGGAGTGTAGGCCGTCACGGGGTGAAGGGTATATCTCAGAACAATATTACTATACAGCTAAGTGTTTTTAGTTAGTTTTACACAGATCTCTCAGGTCGGTGTCTGCGTCACTCACCAAACCGAGGCCTTCCCATTATCTTTTTTAGGCCCGTTTGGCGTTTACCCATATGAGCACGAAATCATTCACCGAATCTAGCATTGAAATCATCCCAATGAAGCATAAAACGGGAGATCAACGCATGGAAAGAGCTGTACAGCAGAAAGACGAACAATCCTTGCAGATGAAGGAGAAAGAGAAAAAAGACTTGCTATTGCCAGAGTCCAGAGTTGTGTATAAATATGAGAAAATGAATCTGGAGATCTGCATCCCCTTCCTATGAATCTTTATCAGTCGGATCCAAAAGGATGGTGGAGGCCAGCTATTTCATTTCTTGATAGATTTGCCGGGCCCTAGGGTTATATAGGGTTATAAATATGAACATAATTGTTGTCGAAAGCTCCGGTGACGTTAAGGGCAATCGATACTTAACTGATTTTTATTAAGACAAGAAAAAAAATGCTTAAAAGTAAACAGAATATGCTGTCATTTGCAAAGGTTCTGTTTGGATGCTTTTATATGATTTTATTTTCATTTATTATTTGGAATTTTACATTGCCTACGAAACAAACTCGAAACTGTTTACATATATACTCTGAAGTCTTAAGTATGCTAAAATAGCTGGTCGTATGCTAAAAACATACTTCTTTTATATGACTAGAAATTTTAGACGTAATCGCTCTAAAAACATTGCATCAGCCAATTTCAAAGCCACAATGACTTTGCTAAAAAAAAAAAACTCCATTAGATTAGATAGCAACATACCTTTTATATTATCGGCTCACCTCAGGGGCTTTTGGTGTAGTCAAAACACTCCCCCAATCACGACAAGGTGTAATTAGCAAGTTATAATGATGTTGGGATTTCCTTCATTCTCACCTTACTACCTAATTTTCAGAGCTTATTTGACGAGGGTGGAACAGATAACAAGCTATTGTTGATGAGTTTTTGATAACCGGGAGAGCGTTAATGAGATACTGAATTGTAAATGCATATTAGGTACTCGTTACGACGAGTCAGGGATATGGCGAATACTGGATAGCGCATATAGCTGGTCCATTCAGAAAACTCGGCATCATCAGAATCTTCAATCTGACTGGTATGGAAATTACATGATCACTATTAACTAGGAGTGAAATAAAATGACATTTTGAGTCAGAAATGGTCAGAGACGACCAGGCATTCGAAGTGTATTTGCTGTTGATCTGGGTGCATGAATTTATTTGAAACTACATCGCACGTATTTTCTATTCTTTTAACCCTCGCACGACCAGGCCATTTCTCATAACACGAACGACCAGGGGGGGGGGGGGGTTGTTACGACCCCCCCCCCCTGGCGTTTCGAAACGGAAGGTCGTAGAGCTTAGCGGAAAAAACCAACGGATTGCTCTCAACGAGATCTCGCGATTGGTGGTATATTTTTTGGTCCTAGGTCAACATTTGACCTACTTATGACCGGTCAAAGGTCAAATTTTCCGAAAAAAATCAAACTTTTTCAACTTTCCGCGGCGATTGCGGCAAAACGGTGGGAGATATCGACTTGAAACCTTCACTATCGTGTTCCTTGATCAATTCTCTATCGTTTGGTATGTATTTCGTTTCCCTAGCTCTAAAAATGGCGCGTTGGGAGCGCCGGAAGTCGGCAAGGTCACAGTCGGCGGCAGAAATTCGAAAAATCAAAATTTAAATTTTTGAAATCTGATTGTATTTTTGGATTTGGGAGGTCCATTTGCTC